CATTCTTTACATATTTACAAAATCAACTGAATCAGGGCTTGGTTTTACTAGCAGAATCTATGTAAATAGATGCACAAACTTTGCCTGTAATAAAAAATAGGAGAACTAATAAAATATATTAACATTGAGAGCAATAATGTTTATAAAAACCTAAGAGATAGGCATTGTTATTATTCTCATTTTACAAGTATGGATCTGGCAAAAGTGAGGCGGTATAAAAACAGATATACTGGCTAGCCAGGAACCAAAATCTGACTGATTTCACAAACCATGCTCCTAACTGTTGTGATACAAGGCCAGACTATGACGATAGAGAGGTCAAATAAATAATTATAATAGGCTACCATTTATTGAGGCAGTGGTGCGCACATTCTATACATTAGTTCATTATTTATAACTGAAAATTTAATAATTTTTTGCTAATTAGTCTGCTGATTTCTGTGTACCACAATTCATGGTAATTTGTTGCATGCAACTTTATGATATCTGAAGATGTGAGAGCTATAAAAACAATGGACCATTCAATGTCTGAGGAGCAGGTAATGAAGATTAGTTTTGTATCATTCATGTCACCCAGAAAGAGTGAGGACTTAAAAAGAACATTTAAATGTCAGGTAGAAACGTCTATGTAATATATATGCATTTTTAGGAGCTCTGGTAGTGTAGTGGTTAAAGCATTTGTCTACTAACCAAAAAGTTTTGAACCCACCAGCCACTCTGTGGAAGAAAGATGTAGTAGTCTGATATATATATATGTACATACATATATATGTGTGTGTATGCATTTATTCTAATCCCACGTATTATATAAATATATAATCATTCTCTATAAAAACAGTTGTTTACTAGATTCAGTAGTTTCTAAAATATAATACAATATCTGGTGCACAATTTTATTGAATGGATAAATAAAAGTATAAAGGAAGAAGAAAACTGGCGGGGGGGCGAGTAGATCAAACAACAATAGTACTGGACTCTAGGGAATCCTTTCCTACCTTTATCTGATTCATACGCTAAGGGAAATTCTAGCTAGAGCTCATGGGAGAACAACAGTTTGTTTTTACTCATACTTAAACTAAGGAATGAGAAGGAAATAAAACTAAGATTTTCAGTGTCTGAGTAAATAATTTACGTTGATATTTTCCCTGGACTCAACTAAGTTTCATTGGCATAAAAGTGACCTGTGTATATTATATTTCTCTGTTCATTAATTTAATTTCTGGTAACATTTAATTATTAAAAGGTGTTTTGAAAAAAATAAATGTATGACTTTGTCTCTGCACAAAGCAATTTCAACATATATATATATTACCTCTTCTTTCTTTCATATATCCATTGCTGTTGTTGTTGTTGTTGTCATGTGCCATCAAGTTGTCTCCGACTCATAGTGACCCCTCCTTGGGTTTCGAAGGCAGCATCACTACCAAATAATCACCCAATCTTCATTCCAAGGAGTGGCTGATGGGCTTGAACCAACCTCCTGGTTATCAGTCAAGTGCCTGAGGTACTACACCACCAGAGCTACCCATTTATCCATAAGCCAACTCATATTTTTGAACCCAGTGAATATATTATGCATTGTAATATGCACTGAGGCTTTAATAGTGATTAAACAGAGACACAAGTTGTGCCTGCAATCTATTGAAAGATTCCCAGAAGAAAACAAAAAACTATACAGTATTATAAATAGTCAGGTAGTAGAAACACAAGGAACTATGAAAACACATTGGAGTAAGATATAACAGAGACCCGGGAATCAGGAAACATCTTCTAGATGAAGGGGCTGCCAAAATTTTACCTAAAGGAGAGAAAGGAGTCAGCAGGGTTCCAGTGAAAATGTTCCTTGGGAAGGGAATGAATACATAACAATGCTAAGAGGTGAAAAAGAATATGACATATTTAGGAAACCTAAATAATTTTGTTTGTCTGTGGTTATTAGATAATATAGTCATTAAACATTTATTGAACTCACAATGTGTTTCAGGCACTGTGCTAGGCACTGAACATGTAAAAGGTAAATAGCAAGACATGAAGCTGGGAAGAAAGGAACAGGGAAGATCAAGCAGAGTCTTACAGCCATGTTAAGGCTTAATGCTAGGGAAAATATTGAAAAGTCCTTTAAGATAGTAGATGATGTGGTTAGATTTGAGTTTTAGAATAACAACTCTAACTATAGTATGGGAACAAGACTGGAAACAGAATAGTAGTTAAGAGTTTCTCATAATAATCTAGATGAAAAGGATGGAGGCCTTGGCTTTGGTGGTGCCACTGAGTATGCAGTGTAGTGGGCACTGCTGTGCCAGCACAAATCTTCTTAAACGGGCCAGTGCAAATATGACCCAGTTGCAGAGTCTGGGTTGTTAATAGCTCACAGATTCACCCTTCTCTGGATGATTGAGAGAAAATAGGAGCTGTCTCCATGAGGAGTTAAAACAACCACCCCAAGGACCACCAGAAGCCAATAATTGCCCGAAATTAGATGTGAAAGTCTAATAATCCCTTCCATCAAGGTGGGCGGGCCCAGATTCATACTACAATGTGAACTCCAGAACTCCTATGGATAAAAGCTGAAGCCATTCCCTTTCTTACCATAATCTGCTTCCCTCATTCCCCTTCTCCTTAAAATTCAAGTTCAAATCCCCAGCTCAGGCTCTGTGTCTTAATGGGGTAACCCAAATTAACATTGAGAGAGAAACGAAGGTTCAACAAAATTGAGGAGTGATAAACAGAATAACATGCTCTAAGATGAAGATAACAAAGAGAAAAATGTTTCTTGTTGAGGGCCTTTCTCTTTTTTTGAGAGTATATTATTAAGGCTGTTCAACTACTGATCATGTCAAAGTCTATCTGGGCGTGCTCAATGGGGAATCCTTTTGAAGTTTTCTGTCCAACACCGCCAACTTCCTTTCTGTCCAAACTGTCTGGGTGTCTTTATTAATTTCCTCACAATTGTAGAATGAGCCCAAAGACCCTCTACAATCACCCCAGCAATCACTCCAGGTTCCACCAACTACTCAATTGTCTTGGCCATTTTGATGTCAGGTATCACATTCACTCCCAGATGGAATGTCATTTACTTTTACTTTTCAATTCTGATTTTCCACCTGGTTGCTATTTTCAAATTTTTACATACCTTCTCCTCATCTAGCCCTAATCTGGTGCCAAACTCTAACCCACATCCAGCATCATGAAACTCTTTGATAGAGGGTAGGAGGGTACACTCACTGAACTAGAGAAAATCAAGATTAAAAGATTAAATGACAACAGTTTTGGGGGGAGGCGGGAAAGTTCTGGTTGCCTAGTGCCACCCTGACAAGAATTTACCACAAATGGGATGGCTTGAACAAACAGCAAACTGTAAGCAGTTTGAGGGGCTAGAAGTCTGAGTTCAAAGTGCTGGGCTCTAGGGGCTGAGTGAAAACCCTTCAACCTTGGGCTTCAGCTCTGCCTCCTGCTCCTGGCCCACTGAAGCTGGAGGCTTTTCTTCATTCAGCTGCTAGCTGCTGAACTGATAAGCCCAAGGTTGACAAGTAAAAAGGCACAGTCCCTATGTTACCAAACCACATGGCAGGCCATTAATTCGAGTTCACTGAAAGTCCCAAAGTCAGCAGAGAATGACAGGCTGCTGAACAATGACTCAGCTACATGCAGGGTTCAAGTGTGCCGTAAGCTACAGACCATTCCCACGGTTGTTTCTTATATACAGTAAGCAGACCACATACCTAAAGTAGGTACTCAGCTGCCCCAATAGATTCCACCATGGAGTTAATGACTACTCTCACCATGGGGAATAACTACATTCAGCTGCCCAGCCACTCAACCAGGCCAAGTTGACACACAACTTAACCACCACATGGAACATCCCCTTTCAATATTCACCCCCTTCCAAGAATCACCCCCTTCTTATTATCCATCTTCCATTTATGCCTCTTCAATGGAAGAATTAATAAAGTACCTAGTATAACTAATAGTGAAATTATGTGAAATCATCATAAAATAGATCACAATGTTTTTGAAAAATTAGACCTTTTTTCATATATTTTTAGGCTTTACAAGAAAACAATGATGCAGCTATTTACTACCAACAAAGAAAGGAAATTCTTACTTAGGGCTGTGTATTGAGAAGTAAGTGTATGTAGGATATGGAGTCAAATCGAGCCATAACCTCAATATCCTCTAAAATGAGCTAAAGAATTAAGGGTAAAATATGTGTGCTAGTGATCAATGCCTCTCAGTTCTGATTGTACTCTTTGTCTGCTCTGTTAAATAGAATGGACTCTGTAAGCATTTCTACTTTGGATCTGGCATGATGTTAACCTTTGTCAGTAGAGGGCACTACAAGGGGAAACCTCTTCTTGATTTTGACAAGATTCTGTTTTCATCTTGCTCTGCCTGTTTAGCTACCAGTAATGGGGGGAGGAGGGCATAGTGCCTAAGGCATTTGACTGAAAACCAGAAGCCTGGCAGTTCAAACCCACCAGCCACTCCTCAGAAGGGAGAT